GTGGGGAGGGTTTGTGAGTGGGAAGAAAGGAGGGGTGTGGTGCTATTTAAACCACAAGGACCAATGGCAAGAAAGAGGCTAGGACAGTCAACTACAGATGATCGGCTCGGCTGCGTAACACACATACAAAATGCATTCGTTCTTGTGGGTTATGGATGAATAAAAGCAAATATAAACACAAGCGAGTGGAAATTGTCCTATAAAAACCCATCCTCAGTAGGGGACTTTACTTGTTATGACGCTGATGCTCAGGTGAAGCTGAGAACGAATAAGTTTAATTGAATTTACGTAAAAATTCTAACACATTGCCTTCGGCAATAAGAAATCCCTTCATTTATGACAATCAGGCTCAGAAAAAAACCGAAGAGCGGTAAAATGCGATTTTTGCAAATACTATGGACAAAAATGTAGGATATCAATTGAGCAAAAAGAGGGGTTAGGCTTGATCCACAAAATGGGGTAAGACTTTGCTCCTGTAGGATTTGGAGAGAAAAAACAGAGATGTAAGTGTTGTATACGATCGTAGGCTGCTAAGTCAGATACTTTTTCACCGTTGAAGACAAAACATTGGAATTATTGCGTGAAATTTTCCTGCAAATCCAATCGAGCTTATTCGTTCTCAGCTTCACCTAAGCATAAGCATCATAAATAGGGAAGTCCCCTACTGATGGTGGGTTTTTACAGAACAGCTTTTGCTTCTTTCGATTTTCTCATCGGCCCTAATTTCTCTTTTTTTCGCTCCTATGCATAAGCTCAGATCCGCACCGCCGTTCCCTCCCTCCCCCCTCCCCCGTCACCTACCACCCCCCGACCCACATCCCCGGAACCCGGGTAGTGTTTCCAGTCGCCAACAGCGGCTTGCCCAATTTGCGCATTAACCCGGCCGAACCGAGGCCGCATTCTAGTAACTGCCGCTCCAGCCTGTGGCGCCGAACGAACCTGCGGTCCCACAGTGCAACGCCCCGTCCCACCCCTCTGGACACTTTGCTGACAGCCGATACCTCTGCACGTGAGAACGCAGAGGCCTCATCGGTTTGTGCGATAAGCAGTGCAATATGCGCTATGCGGAGAAAACTACGTGACTTAACCAAATTAACGTGTAAACTCCGAACTTGTGGCTTTATTTAAATAACGTCACGGGCCAGTTGCGGTGCTGAATAGAAATGTATACGACTTAATGGACCGAAACATTCCTATTCATCTCATTATTTTTTAATATATATTTTTTAAGATTACATACATATATCATCAGTAATATCTTTGTTATCTTTATTACTTCACTCCTATTTGAACCCGTTCTCAAAGGTATGACTGGTCATCGGTTCAAACAATGAGGTCACCAATGGGCTGTGGTGGGGCCACAGGTGAACTCGCGGTTGGAGAGTCACAGATGTCCAAAACTTACTCGCCGAGCAGGATCTTTAAATTTTTTCAAGTTTTTGACGCGCTCTGTTGTGAAGTTACAAAATCAATTTGATTTCGCACATGGGCTGACACGGGTCCGGAAAAGTTTGGAACCTGTTCCACAAAGTTTTTGCATCGAATTACATTATGAATTGATTTCCCAAAACTTACTGTCTGCACTTTTTTTTTTTAATTTTTGAGCTTAACCAGTGCAATGGACAAAATACTTTGACAAATTAGATTTACTGCGCTGCACACCGGTAAACAATTATATCGCCAAAATTCCAGTCCACAGTTTTCGTACTTCTTTTTGGAGCAGAATTATAGAAGTAATTATGTATGTATACAGAAAACCATAATCTGACCATGACTTCTTTTCTCCGGCCGTTTCTCCACTTCGAAAGGCACAAAAAAGCACTGGTATTAGTTTGTTGTGCCCGAAGTTGAATTACTTCGTTTCCTAACCACCGACGGTGTACAAGCTAATCAAATTACACAGCGGAAAAGTATAGTTTGTAACGGACCTGAGTATGGCATTGCTGAGTTCTTGTTCAAGAGGACAGGCTTAAGTATTTCGGATTCAACTTGAGGTACGCGTGGTTCTTACGTCTAAAAGTTTTGACGAAAAAATTTCTCACTGAACAACTAGGTTACTTCTAAAGAACGACTATTAGATGGAAATTGTACATTTACTTTGCAAAATTTATGGTGATTTATACTGGTGACCACAAAAGATAGATGTAAAGCAACAGCCATTCATACAATTAATGACCTAAGTAATTCAAGTCCGGTGCAAAAACACATGATCGCACGGGCTCGCCTGGTGCGTTCCAGCCTGGATTTTTGCAGGAAGAATTTGGGTAGATATCCGGGCTGCGCATTATGAGAAGACAATTGCCTGGACAGTTTCCATGCAACAGCCCAGTTTTTTTTCAGGAAGAACGGAAAGAGGCTTGGTGATCGGGCTGTTTATCCACAGTAACAATACTCGCCTGGAAATGGCGCCTGCTTGATGCAAAAATGCTTATTCCTAGCTAGTATACTCTTTTGGTCTCTGTTACGCGCTGCATCATAACTCATTTTCAGCTGTACCATGCGTTTCGCGAGGACTGGATCCTCCTTTCTCAGCTATTTGCTCAACAGTAAATTGCCCTCACTGTCTGAGGTTGTTTAGGGAGATGATGAGGAGCAGAGAATTGTCCGGACTGCTGCCAGTATATTAGTTAGTCAGCAGATGTGTGTTGTACTGCTGCAGTCACCGATTGCTAGCTACAACATCCTGCTGCTGCAACATTATCCTGGAACTGATGTAATGGACATCGAAGAACAAACGGCGAGAGGAGCAGCAGCAGCAGCAGCATCCAGACTTTTCGTGTACAGCACAGCTGAGAATGCGTTTTTGATGCGATGAGAAGAGGTATGGAGGGAGGCAGCAGCTGGAAAGCTCTGAGGCTCGCTCTCCAGCCAGCAGCAGCAGCAGCCAACTCTGCTACCAGCCAGCTAGCAGCTTAAGCGAACGCCGACGTTAGCTGGGAGCCAGGATCCGAGGAGGACAGCTGCTCTGTGCCGAAAGAATGGTCGCATCACTGTTCGGATGCAGCTCATTGCCTCTACTCCGTTTTGACGTGCCGCCTCCGCATTCATTCGGTGATCGTTGCCCGATAACATTCACTGTCACCCTGTCCGTGAAACAGCCGGTCATCGTTAGCCTGAGCCTTCTGACCGCTGACTACCAGCAGGCGCACCGGCTCCAGATCACACCGCAGCAGACCATCAGTTTCGCCGAAAGTACCACGCACAAGTAATCCCTTTTTTCCGGTTTTCCAGCTAGCATGCAATTTTCCATGATTAGTGAGCACATCATCGCACTCCTCTGGACTCGCTCTTTTGTCTCATCACCGGCCCGCCAAGGAAGACCATCTTTCCGGACTCGCTCCTTTACAACATCACCGATCCGCGTGGAAAAACCATTTCGCTGAACACGCTCCTTTACCGCAAGACCAGCCCGCGAGGGGAACTCATCTGTCTGGAGTCGCTCGATTGCTTCAACTGAAAGCTGAAATTGACACCCCTGGGCATATTAGCGTTTCGGCGCGCATACCACTTGCTGCAAGCAAACAATTTTTGGACGAAGCATTTACGAGCGTTTTTGATAACGAGCGTTTTCACGGTACTGTTGATAAGGACGTTTGGAATCCAGGCTGGAACGTACCGGACGGGCCCCTGCGATCATGCGTTTTTGCACAGGACTTGAAGTACTCAGGTCATTAACTGCATGAATG